CATTTGATATTGGAGCCTTCTCATGTCTCTTGGTCACCACTCTCTATACTACAAACTTCTTGAGCTTCCTAGCTCTTATCAACTCCTCAATGAGGCTCCAAAGATGTCAACATTCCTTAGTTTTGTGGTCATGATCCCTATGATGTGCACATTATTTCTTTATGTCCTAAGAGAAAAGCTCCAGTTCTTATTAGTGGTGCCTTCTTAAAGTACCCCTTATCTGGGATGACCTCCCCTAGCTTTGCCATCAAGGCTCTCAATGGAGTCACCTTCAGAGTTTCATGGTAAATTAATGGTCACTCATTGTAACAATCTGATTATTGGTTAGGGAATCAGGCCTGACCTCCTTGATTGTAGTTCCCGTTGGCCTCCTTGTAGTCTCAGGGTGGTCGATTGCTTTCATAATGCTAAAAGGACATGATTCTTCCCTTGATCTCTACCTGTCACCTTAAGAAGCTCTCTTCTACAAGCAATAGGTGAATGGCTCTATTATGGTGGAAGCAATGGTGGTGTTGTACTCCTCGACCTAGATATGGTTGTTGTCCAACTCTAACAACTTGACTAATGTATTTAGTTTCTGCAAGCTCAAAGCATACCGAAACGAACCATCCTTCAACCCTTAAGCTAAGGTGGTATGATCTACAATAGTTTTGAGAACCCACTTCTCTAGCATCTCCTTCTGGAATCAATTGATGAATAAGTAAAGACTCTTATTATGCCCCTACCTGATCAGCAATAGTTTATGCAAACTTATATGTGGCTTCTAAATGCTGGTAAACTATGTCATAAACATTCTCTTGAAGTCAGTGAAGGAGACTATCACTTCTACCAACAATCCATTAAACCATATGAAGGCCAACACCCTTAGTGTGGTGAAAAATAGAGGATGCGTCAATGTATCAATAATCTTTAGAAGATAGAGTATCGACCCAAAGAAGGTGATGTGGTTGACAGGACCAGTCCAACCCTTGTGTGATTTAAGTGTCAGTATCTTAAATCATTCTGAGGGTTTGTCATCAGAGATCTATTGAGAGAAGGTGTTCTCAAATTTTCGAGGCACATAAGGACATCCAAACAGATCTCTATCAATTAGTGTTGACCCAACACTATGTTGGTAATGAGAATCTCATACCCTTTCATAGGCTTGGATTTTTCTTCAGTCATTGGGCGTTAGTCCATCCTTTCAGAGATTTTGCTCTTAAGGATTCAATTCTCTTCCCCAAGCCACTAATGTTCAGAGGGCTTCCATCATTTGATCTCTTAACACAAGCATTTGTTGCTGCATAAACTCCTTAGTGCACTTTATGTTGGCAGTGTATTTATGTTGAGTTTCTTCTCCTTCTTTTGCTCCTCTTTTTATTCCCATGTTCATCACACATTTTAGGATGTTGAATCTGAATTTGTTTGTGAATCATGCCCAAGGAATAATGCATAAGACATGAGAAAGAGAGGGAGGGGGAGAATGTTGAGTGCATAATAATGAACAATACTATGGATTTTTAGTTGGCCCTTTCTCATAAAATGTCCCACTATGAATAAAATAGAAAAAAATTATGTGTTATCACATGCTTAGCCCCACTTTAATAGGGTGCTACATGATATTTTAGGTATTTTAATAGCATAGCCCCATGGTTCGACTACCCTATAACTACGCCAATTGAGATCGGTGGGTCTTAATTCGACAAAAACTATTTACTGACTGTGCTAAATTGAGATTAAAAGCTGGTTGTTGATGGTATTTGGGTTGGTCAGGCTTGACTCGTCCACTTGACTTTATCGATCAACTAACCCTGTCTGAATATTGATTATTGATTCCCAAGCAAGGAGCTCTTATTGACAAAGTGAGGCTAAGCTATTAGACAAAGAGTGAATCACCTTAATATGATAGGTAGCTCACTCCTTAACAAGAGGGTCCTTTGGGATGCTTCCATTGATTACATTATGACTAGTTTTGTGCCTCTGGTGAGGAATTTTAAGAGAACCCTTAAGGTGGCTAGCGTCAGTAATGGACTCTTCCTTTAAGTCAAGTTGTAGAAATAAGAAGATTGGTGTCTTGACTCGACTCAAATGACCGTGGTCTTTGGTGCATATATCTTGCATCTGATCAATCCCTAGCCTCGATTCAAAGCAGGTTGCTCCCAGGTAACTACATCTTTAGTCTTTTGCTAATTGGCACTTTGGTCTTTTCCTATTGAGCCTATTGGTCTTCCGCTAGTGAACCCTTCTTAGTCGTACTCCTTTGTCTCCTAGCTCATTTAATCTCTTTAAGATTTGTGTTGTGCATTTCTGATGTACACAATGCATCATCTTTATCATCTTCCACATTTATCGTATATTGATCATATGTCATTTAAAGCATCTGCATGACATATGTCGCAAAGTAAATGCAAACTATTTTCATGAATAAGAGCTAACATTCACTCTATCTCTAAATTCTTTGACATAGTGAAAATTCTTTATATAAGCGTGAATCTCTCTTTAACCACTTCAAGTAACTTTCCAAATGGTGCAACATTTTTGTGATATGCTAAAAGTTGTTCCTTTATTTGTGCAACACAGCATGAAACCCTTCTTGCAATAATTATACTTCAGATAGATATAAGCTTTGTCACTCCCTCCAATGTCAACTTGCACATTATGTCTCAATGTTGAGCTTATTCTATCGGCCAAGGTTTTCTTCTTTCCTTTAACTATTTCCCTAAAACCTTAGAATGAAAATATTTATTTTAAAAAATAGAAATATGTTCAAATAAAAAAAAAGTTAAGAAATACATAAATAAAATAAAATATATTTAAGAAAGTAGAAACAAATAAATTTTAAGGTTTGCCCAAAATGAAAGCAAATAAATTAGGTGATGTCAATATATAAGATGTTGCAATAAAGAAAGCTAGTGGTGACATTGGCTACAAAAAGGGTCGACAAGTGTGGTGGAACAATGAAACTCAATTGTGGTTACTATTAAAAAGACTATTGACGATTGTTGAGATGCATGACAATGGTGATAGAGGTGGCCAGTGTTGGCCTTAAGGGAGGTCGACAAGGAATAATGGTGGTGGTTGAAGAGAAGGGTGAGGTGTTCTATTAGTTACAATATTAGGCTGAGAGCAAGAAACGCGACGTGGGAATGAGGGTTAAGTCGGGATAAAGATATATGGAACAATTTTTTTTAAGTTAACTAAATTGTATACACCTCATACATATTGAGGCGTACACTTCACACTGCATCAATGAGGTATTAGACTCATTGTAGTTTCAGATAAAAAGAGCGGATGAGAGCCTTAATTTTGAATTTCATGAAATTAGCCTAAGACTTTTGCTCATAATTTTGTGTTCCTTCTCACATGAAACTTCATTAAATCATAACCCAATGATCAAAATTAATTTAACAACTATAAATATTATGGTCTTTTGATTTTCAACATAAATAAAGCATCCCTTATTTTCTAGGTCATCAATCCTCTGATAATTAGGGTCACAGAGAATTATAGTTTAAGAGATTTAATGATCTATGTAAGTGTGATGTCTCATTTTTACCAATTAGATAATAAATCTTAAGATATCTAGTCATAGTATCCATCACACCCCTGGCTTTATATATGACCCAAGCAATATAAATACTATTCTAAATTTATTATCATAGTAGATATTATAAAATATTAGTAAATTAACATAATTCAATACTTTTTAAAATAATACTAGCAAAATAAAATAGTTTATGTCATGATCAAGTCATCTTGAGTCTAATTTGAATAATGTTAGAACCAATCATATCTAAATATTCCATAACATTATTCAAACTATTCTCAAATTTTATTCATCTCAATATTGAATTTTCTTTACTATGATGAAATGTTCAAACAAGATTTGAACATATTTGTAATATATAATATGTTGTCAAATGTCATCTTTAATCAAAAATCCCAGAGTGCAAATAATTAACCAAATGCATAATATCACTAATATTGAATAGATGGTGAGTGTAAAGTCAAAACCAACATTGTAATAATTCCTTTTTGATTGATTAAATGAGCTCTAAAAATGGAGAAATTATTCCATACGGACACCGCATGCAGAAATGTATGCGGTGTTCAATCTCCACCGTCGATCACCGCAATCAAATTTTTTTTTAAAAAAAGAAAATTAAAAATAGGATCCATCGAAATACATTTTTGCGATGATCGAAGGTGGAGATCGATGAAATAATTTTTCCTAAAATTGAGACATATAAGACACTAAGAAGAAGTGCACTTATGTTGTTTGAATGTTACATGTACCTTTGAGCAGTGATTACTTCTCCTATTTCTAAATATTATATAGAAAATTTGGTCTACAATAAATTTCTGAATGTATCTCTTAAAGTAAAACTAATGATCACATTTGATTGATAATTGAAATGTACATTTTATTAATATTTTTTAGGAGCATTTGCACATAATTCTTATGTATTTATATGTCTAACACCTATACATTCATATTTATATGCATAACTCAAAGCTTAATATCATATTAAAATTATCACCATCACAATCTTTTTAAAATTGAATTACCTAAATTCATATATATTTATGACAGTAATGTATCGTAAGTGTGAATAACGAAAAAATATTATATCAAGACTCTGTACGTAGAGTTACGTGCAGAGTCCAATAACACGCCACATGTAGAGAAAAAAATGACCCGGTAACACGGGGGAATATTCTCCTGTATTTTTCAGGTATTATTGTATGTTATTCAAATGTTGTTGATGTGTTATTGTGTTATTATAACACCAAAAATATTCTCATAACACAATAAAACATGAATAACATACAATAACTCCTGAATAATACGGGGGAATATCCCCGGTGTTATTATGTTTTGTATTCCGCACGTAACTCTACGTGCAGAGTCCTGATGTAATATTTTTTCGTGAATAACAAATTTTGGGTGTTAAATATGTAAATACATGAGAATTGTTAGGTACGTATAATAAATTTCCTGTGTGTTTTTACGGTTGATGTGAAGAAGTCTTCTTACTCTCAAGCCGAGTTACTGTCACTTCTCTCAGCTGTACATTTCCATCTCCATCCCCTGAAGAACAACGACAGAGAGTAAGTCTAGTAAATCTCCATAACCCAGATCTCTTCCTCTCTGCTGTTCAATCTCACACTGCAATCACATAACATTGATCTCTCAGGCACAATGGGATCCGAAGCACGTATTCAAAGCATACTGGTCACTGGTGGCGCTGGTTTCATCGGAACTCACACAGTCCTCCAGCTCCTCAAAGAAGGATTCAGGGTTTCCATTATCGACAACCTCGACAACTCCGTGGAAGAGGCTGTAGACCGCGTGAGAGATATCGCCGGTCCCGATCTGTCACGCAATCTTCGATTTTATCTGGTAATGCTCGGTCTTCCAGTACTTGCTTCCTTGGCTTAGGTTTTGATGGTTGATTTTGATGGCAGGGCGATCTACGGAACAATGAGGATTTGGAGAAGGTGTTTTCCGAGACAAGGTCGGATTTTATTTTATTTATATATTTATTATATTTTGAGATCTCTGTTTTTTTAGGATTGCAAATTGTGGATTTGGAGTAAAAAAGACCAAACATTGTCATGCGCCTCTTGGTTTAGGTGTTATAAGAGATGGACTTAAGTAAATTTGTGGTGTTTCATGGGGAACAAGGGACCGCTTGGTTCAATGCTATTGATATATTAATATTATTAAGGCAGATTTACATACATAACCGTCAATTCCTATGTATTTACATATCTAATACCTAAAGTTTAATTTAGGTGGTGTTTGAATGCAACTTAGATTTACGTTAAATAGGATTTATCAGTTACACGAGCGACGATGGAATAAATCTGTCTCGCAATCGGATTTAGTAAATCAAAATTTACGTCGTAAAAGAGACTGACCACAAGAAAATTTGATATAAGGGAGTGTTGGATTTAATTTTTATTTTTTTGGTATTTGGCTGGATTTAAATTAAATTAATCACTAAATCCTATTAATAGTATGCTACGAAACGCCGCCTTAATGTTATCTATCAAATATCATGTGTTTGATAGTATTATTGCATTAAGTGACATCAGTGATATCTATCTTAATGCACAATAACTTAATTCTTCAAAAATTGACATCTAATGTCAGTAAAAATGTGAAATGATTTAATGTTTGCAGTGAACCATACAGTTGCATTTTAAATAACCAAATCTGATGTTGCATGTCATAATTGAATGAAACAACATCATAGAGATGCCATTTGTTCAGCTTCTTATAAGAAGTGGCCCTTATACATTTGCTTAGATTCTTAGGGTTGGTGGATGGTGTTTTAGCCCAATTTTAGCCTCCCAATGTTCCACCCTTGACAAGGAGTATGAGAAAAGATGTTTTGGCTAGGCTTAGGCTTGTAAAGTAGTGAATGTCTCTCATGAATATGTACAATGGTTGAGCAATGTTGAAGAACGGATGATAGCCATGCAGGTTCTATTTGATTGTCTGATATTCTATGCATGACACTCTATAATCTTAAAATATTGTAATATGATAGGGATTGGGGAGTGCTGATTGATGTGGAGGACTCTTATGTGATAGAGAGATCAGTAAAATTCACATTAGTGAGAATAATAATCCCATGTTACAAGTGGAGCAAGAACTGAATTTTTAATTTTTCTCTTGCGTGTCTTATTCATTAGCTTCTTAGGCCTTTAGGTTGATGGTTGCCTGTTTCTTATTTGTAATGGACTCAACTTGAGACCCTAAATGTCTCATTCTCTAAACAGGATTGATTGAATTGGGCTATTTGCTATGTAGAATTATAATTTTGTTTCATTTTTAATTGGATAGGTTTGATGCTGTTATCCACTTCGCTGGACTGAAGGCTGTTGGGGAGAGTGTTGCTAAACCTCTTTTATATTACACAAATAATTTGATCGGGACATTGAATTTATTTGAATTTATGACAAAATATGGATGTAAGAAGGTATGTCACTTTGATTTTTCTCATATTTTATGCCCATTTTCTTGCTGTTAGTTATCTAATTAGTTTTTGGCAGAAAGAATACCTTAGGGAAATATTTTACATTGTTAATTTGATCTAATTATAGAAAAGAATGTATTTTTTTTAAGTGATTGTTTCAGGTTATGATTCAGTTTCTAGAGAACTTTCTTTCTTGTTGATAGTTTTTCTTGACCTGTATATTTTATTTTCTTTTGAGTTTTCCATACCTCATGTCTTTGCATGCATCTAATCTATGCAACTCATTGATCTACATTATCTTATTGTAAAGTAGATGGTCTTCTCCTCCTCTACCATAGTTTACGGTCAACCTGAACAAAGTCCATGTGCTGAAGATGTTGAGCTGAAGGCAATGAACCCTTATGGCCGGACCAAGGTATTTGACAGTTTCTTATTTTAATTATTTGTGAATTTAATTCCATTATATGTTCTGTGTACTTATGTACTCTTGTAGTGATATATGCATGTCATGTTATGCATTGTGAGATTATTTGACATTTTTATTCCGTTATAATTTTTTGTTTTAGCTCTTTCTTGAAGAAATTGCTCGTGACATTCAAAAGGCTGATCCAGAATGGAGAATTATACTGTTGAGATACTTCAACCCTGTTAGTGCTCATGAAAGTGGCCAGATTGGTGAAGATCCTAAGGGCATTCCTAATAATCTTATGCCTTTTATTCAACGTGTTGCTGTGGGTAGATTGCCTGTGCTGAATGTGTATGGCAATGATTACCCAACAAGGGATGGGACAGCAGTAAATTTACTTCAACCTTTTATGTTCTAAATATCTGATTGCTTATTGGACGCTGCTCATTAGACAAGCTTTTTATTTGAACCACAGTTTCTAGTTCATTGTCTTTTTTTTTTTAAATAAAAAACTTCTCTCAAAGTGTGAGTTCCTTTTAATTCTTGTTTAAGTTCTGTCATTTTGTGGAATTTTGATTGTTTATCGGTTGGTTTTCACATATATTGTTTTATCGTTTATTTTGATTCTTGAAGGAATACTTTGTTGCTATATCCAATTAAGCCAAGGATCTTCAATGCATTTTATTATTAAAATTGTTATGTTAAAGATGGCAGTAGTAGCCTTGGTTAAATAAAACGAGCACAAAAATTGCAGTAGATTGTTTGAGAAATCGTTAGTGGTGGAAGAAGCCACAATTTGAGAATATTATAGAGGGTTGGTTAAAGAGAGAAAAGAAGAGAGAATTGATAGAAGAGTTGGTTCAAGCCAAAGAGAAGAATAGAGAGGATCAGGTGATCATGGTTTTATTCATTATTCAAAATTAGAAAAGTTAAATTAAGAATAATTATGTTCGAAGGAAATTTAGAGTTACATCTATTGAAGATGAGGTAATTGAAAACAGTTTCTGGTGATTTGGACACACACAATAAAAGATAAAAAAATAAGCATTAGAGGATTCAAAAGCAAGGTTGTAAAAGTTGTGCAAGATAGTTTGCAAAGTCTAAAATATACTCAAGCACACTCATTAAGGATGAACGAAAAATGATAATTCATGAAGAAGATTCCAAATAGTTGATATAAGAGTAATAATGATGTGGAAATTTTCCTAAAATAATGTGAGAATAATAAAAAAAATGCCTTTTTGTGACAATTATATAAAATTCTTAAAGGACTTAAATGCAATCCAAGCCTTAATAAGTAAATCAGCGTAAAAAGCATTAGCATATTATTAGATAGTATCTTATTTGTTATTAGTAAACTATGTTCATTTTGTTGTTTATCTATATACTTCATTTGGCCCCAATATTAAAAATATGAAGCCCTCTTACTCAATAGCATGAGCGGAAATTTCTTCTCTCAATATAGTATTAGAGTAAGGTTAGTCCTAAGTGTAATTATCATGCTTCTTATCTCCTTTCCAGTCCATAAACTCCAGCATTGACACGTTTGTATTTGTTGTCGTTCATCGTGCAATTCCTACTTTATCACACAATCATCATCCTAACCTCAATTTTACAACTCAAACTCGATTAACATCTTATACTCAATGTTATATGCTCACAGTCAATCTTGCTCTCTACTAGCTCTATTATCATCTTGATTGTAGCCATCTACACTCGATCTAACTTCACGTTAGAGCCACTACTTCATCCATTCCTTACCTAATGTCAATGCCCAATCTCTCCCTAATCTTGCTCTCACGACCTCAACTTGCATGCTACTTCATCAGCAAACTCTACCTAAGGACTATTTTATGTACCTTCAGCCTACACGTACGCACTACCACACTTTCGTCTGCACCTAGATATAAGATTGCCTAAATTTTTCCCTTTTCTTCTTTGATCATAGTGGAGCTGGCCAAAGGGTTTTTCAACTATTTAAAATTGCACAATTTGAGGAGCGACATAAGGCCCATCTCAAAGCAATTTTGAAGAATAACTCTTCTAGGTGTATGCTCGAGTAGATCGGGCGAGACATATTGCTCACATTGGCTGACGCTCACCTCAAGGCGTGCCTCACCTCAATTCAAATAAGGCATGAGCCTCTCACTCTTTGATTTTTTTTTCCCCTAAATTAGATAGTTTGGATATGATCTGAAGTCGCATTCTCATGCACAAGATACCTCCTCTCCCCTATCAAGCTTCTTAGCGCCACTGCTTGTTGCTTGTTTCTTGCTGCCGCCGACCGCTGCTTCTGTTGCCGCCACAACCAACAACTCCTGCTATCATTGTTGCCAGCTGTGTCACCTGCAACCCAGATTTTTATTATTTATTATCTTCGTATTTAATTTTGTGGATGTTATTATGTTTGTTTGACAATAGGAGTGAGATAAATCTTATGTTCTGCTATGATATTTTTTTTTCTTTTATTTCATAGTTTATGTTACTTTGATAACTTGATCAGTTGGTATTTACATTTTGTGCATGTTGTTACATACTATTTTATAGCTTACATAATTTGTTATTTCATATAAACGTAATTTATCACTTTTTATCATGCTAGAATGTTAATATGTCATTATTTAATATATAATTTATCACTTTTTGCCATGTCTCGTGGAGTCCTGAGATATAAGTCTCATTATTTTGACTTATGCAATTTTCAAATTGTATGGCTTAAACCTCTGACCGCCTCGAGGTTTACGGCTCACCTCACAAACGGAAAACACCTCAATACCCAATTATGAAATTTTAAATATTGACTTCCTCTAATACACCTTCAGAATCAAAATTTTAATCTACTATTAGTGTAACTATCAAAGTCAATAGAATAAAATATATTATGTAGCCTTATTCTTAGTCTCATCATAAGATCTCATATAAAACATTGTCATCTTAACTTCTCTTTTCTCAGATAAATAGATACTTCCGAATACATAAAATGAAAAACTTCAGGCTATGATATTCTCGCTTGGATGATTAAACAATATCAAGCTATTTATTGCCTCTGCTTTTGTTTTTTGAGAGACGATCATGTATGTTGGATTTTCTTCACTTCATCTACTTCGAGGTAATTAACATTTCAATGGTTGCTCTTTATCTGATTTGTATTTTCTCCTAGAAAATGACCTACTTATCTAACGAGGATGCTATGGGACTGTTTAGTTGCAAGATTTAACATAGATTTAATTAGGATTTAGCTTAAATCATGCAGTATTGTTTTATTTATTTATTTATTATTATTATTTTTTTTTCTTTTGTGGTCTTCAAATCCTATAGTTTGTTTAATTTCCGATTTTTCATTTGCTTTCTCTGGCCCTGTTATTTTGAATTGTATCGAGATTCCAACTTAGTATAGCATACTATATCTGACCCTGTTATTATGATAGTTTATACTCATCCAATTGTAGTGACTACAATAGTGAAAGACCATCTCCAAAACTAGTTTATGATCAAAGATGATAGTCATCCCAAATACTTCCTAGGAATGATTTTGCATACAACTTATCTCAAACAAATATACCACAACTTCCTTCGGGAAACTGGTTAAGGTTATAAATTTACTGACGCTGCATAGATACTTGGTATATTTCTAATAAATATAAAAATTTTCATGATCCCTAGTTATCACAGGTTGGTTGATAAAGTGAACTTGTTGATACCAAACCTCATCTCTCCTTTGCTATAGGAGCTGTACGTAATCACATGCAAACTCTCAAACAAAAATAATGTGTAGTTATTTTGCATAGTCTTAGATATTAAGAAGTCACTAGGAAAGGACTACTATGAACTATGAATGGGTATCATAATAGGAAGAATTTTTAAATATTGATTATGCTAGCTCAGTTGATGATAACAGATTCACATGTGAGTATTGCATATAAGTAGTATGTAACTAGGTCTCATGGAAGAGTAAGAAAAAAGTATGATGGCCAGATTATTTGTTGAGGCATAAATTTAAAACCATAACGTGCTCCATATGTGATAATGTTGATTAGTCCCTTTTGAGTTTTTGGTTGCCCAAGTTTTAAATTCTGAAAATATGTTACCAATAATCCTGTCTTCCATGCAAGAGTCAATATACTGAAGTTGATTATCACTTCATTTGAGATGCAATTTTCTCAAAGATGATCGCTACCAGGTTTTAGTATCAATTGACAAATATATACCAAGGTTTTGGTTTCACTTCAAATTTTCAACCAATGCAACAATTTGGAGCTCATTATTATATATGCTCCAAATTGGGAGCTAGTATTAGCGCTTCTATATTATTGAAAAGTTACTATTTATATATTGTAGATAAACATTATATTCATCTTCTTTATTATGTACATGGGGCTCTCCTATTGAGTAAGATAAAAAAATTTCTTTCCCTCCCCATGCATATTGATCAGTAGCAAATTACATAAAGCAACTAAAGACTTTCACATGGCTTGCCATCATCTAGCCAGATTAGTGTTTTTTTTTTAATTATTCTTTTTATTATTATTATTTTTTGTGATTGCCCTGTTCTCATGAATTACAGATTCTGGCTGAAGAGAGCTTTAGGCAACCAAAATTCTTAACACTTTCACTTTTGATCAGATTCGTGACTACATTCATGTCATGGACTTGGCTGATGGCCACATAGCGGCTCTACAGAAACTTTTCCATACCGTTGACATTGGTAATCCTTCTATTCCTGTTCTTACATGTCTCATTCCAATTTTTTGCAACTTCTTTATCTCTGGAAACCATGATTTGGTTTTGCAGGTTGTGTTGCCTACAATTTAGGAACTGGTCGTGGCACATCTGTCCTCGAGATCATTGCGGCTTTTGAGAAAGCCTCCGGAAAGGTAAGTTTATTTTTATTTTTGTTCCAGAATAAAAAAAAATATTGTTTGTTTATTGAATTTATTTTGGACTACTCTTTAGAAAATTCCTATCAAGTTTTGTCCAAGGAGGCCTGGTGATGCAACCGAAGTCTATGCTTTGACAGAGAAGGCTGAGAAGGAGCTTGGTTGGAGGTATGTTCTTGGAGTAGTTTATTAAACGTCTTTCCTTTGCACTGGAGATGTTTGTTTGGAAGCATTAGGAGTGTATATATATATATATATATATATATATATGAAT